CTCCTCCTCCTCCTCTCTCTCTCTGTATCTCTCTCGCTCTTTTTCTCTCCATGTCTCTCTGTCTCTCTTTCTCAGATCACTAACATGTTCCACAGCAATGTATTGTAATCAGTTCTTCCACCCTTTCAACGACTCTGCACATATCATTGCTCAGCCTTCCTCTCTTACAATTGACTCTGTGAAGTTTTGTCAATCCAGCTTTTTCTAAGGTATTAAATCACACGAATCCTTCTCAGGATGTCCGATGCAATCGAAATCCAATCCTAAAAGATCCCCAAATGTCCTCACAAAGCTCAAGTTATCCCAGGAAAGTGTTTAATTCTTTGTGGACTGACATACATAATTTGTAAATCTCGCCTCAGATCAGTGTTTAATATAAAACCAGCCTAGCAAAATTTGAGACTACAAACGAACGCTTCTGTAAAATTTAATTGATTAGCGGGTGGTTGGTCGCTTTCCTATCAAACATCTATTGTTCTGGTCTCTCCTTCATTTTTGCGTTTATTACTCTTTTATAACACCTATAATTTTCTGCACCTATATGACTGTATTGTGTTGCAAGTGTCGTAAAACTCTTACTAAAACTAAAAGAATGATTAACTCTAAGTATATGACAAGCCAGGGAGCCATGACAAGCCAGGGAGCCGCCACACAGCATCGGTCAATTGTTTACCACTGTAACAAAATTTTGCCAAAGTCCAGTAAATCCATCTTGTCTATAATAAAACAATAAGTATATTACAATTATTGCAAGATAATTCATTTCTTCTTAGTTTGGTGTTAATTTTATTTCAATAGGTGAAAGAGGACCGGAGTTATACAGAAGTTTGAGATGCTAAAATATTGGATGCAAAATCGACTGCGTACTTATAATGTGTGGGAATCCACGGGAAACATGGGAATAGTCTAAAACTGAAAATCGCGAGGGTATCAGTTTTGAACGCTTGTTCACTCAAAATGTATTTCTGTTCAACTATTAGTAGATTATTGTTGTTAGTTTCCCATTCAACAAACATAACAATAAACCACCAATAAAAAAAACACCGATGTGCCTTCATTTTATTATTTTTTCCGCAGCGTACGCCATCTCCTGCGTTGAACAGAAGTCTAACGAATGAAATTACTCACCTGAATGGAGTGACTTTTCCTTTTTAATATAAAAAGGTATCCACCGTTTTTCTATGATAAAGCTAATGTATATAAGGGGTGTGAAAAAGACTTTTCTTATAAGAAACCCAGGGGATAATTTTAATCTTAGCTAGTGTAATATTGTGTCGTATTGTTGTGTTTGGGATTAGCGCCCAGTCCGCAACCC